GAGGGAAGGAAGGAAGGAAGGAAGGAAGGAAGGAAGGAAGGAAGGAAGGAAGGAAGGAAAGAAGGAAAGCCTTACCACTCCAGCATAGTGCAGAAGTTCAAAATGTGCTTCATATTTCCTTCTTTTGTCAGGCCTTGGTTTCTGCAGATTGGGCGATTTGCCAAGGTGGTTGTCATAAAGTTTGGCTTTAAAGGTCATATCAGTAGCCTTTGGAAACATGCATTCCTCTTCAAGAATAGAAAGGATGCCCATGGGCTGTAAACAAAAAAAAAATAGAAAAATAAATAAACAATGACAGCCTTCCCAGATTGGTCCCTTCCAGTTGTACCACAGTTCTAAAATACTAAGCCAACACAATCAATGGGAACTGCTTTAGGAATCTGTTCTTCCAAGTCTGCAAAGTATATTGCCAGCTACTGGTACAGAGTTGGTTTTTTTTTTCTCATAACCATTAATCTGTTATTCTTTCCGTCTGCTATAAAACTTGTTGACATAGCATGTGAAGATGTTAGATTTTATCCCAGTTGCTGACATAATATTGATGTTTTTGCTTTCAAAATACTTTGATGGGCTGACATATTTGTCTCAATGAATAGATAGAAACTGGAGCACTTTTATACTCAGATGTATATGCTTTGCAACCCATAAAACTACCTGTTGTTAGTAATCAGATCAGAACATGATGGCCACAATGTAAACACATTTAAGTACATTTAACTTGCCAACCCAAAGGTTATGCAGACTTCTTACAACTATTAGGGGGGAATGGGATGACAAAGGTATAACTCCAGTTCAACCTTTTAAATTAATTTACAGTCATGAACTTAGAAGAATTTATTAGTACCTTTTCAATTAGGTCAATGCAAGCCTGTAGATCCAATCCAAAATCAATGAACTCCCACTCAATGCCTTCCTTTTTGTACTCTTCTTGCTCCAAGACAAACATGTGATGATTGAAAAACTGTTGCAATTTTTCATTTGTGAAATTAATGCAAAGTTGTTCAAAACTATTAAACTTCAGGAAGACACACACACAGAGAGAAAACAAATTGTTTAGGATCAAACAGTGTAACTAAGACAAAATTTCTGTATGGCTTGTGGTAAAACTTGAATTTCTTTAAATATATGATCTGTTTTAATGTGCATAAATATTGTAGCCATTTTAAAAAAAACAGAATCGTTGGTTTAATTAACAAAGTTTGCTAGGCTATATATTCAGACATGTTTCACAAAGATGATAGTAGTGATAGTGGTAGTGATAATGGTATATACCAGTGTGCCTACCATCCCTGTCCTACTGTCCCCATTTATTCGTACCCATTTCCTGTGTTCATGTTCACATTTATTCTTATACCTATTATCTCATACATGTTTGACAAATTAAATAAATTAAATAAATAAATATTAATTTTACATTAGATCAGTGATCCCAGGAAGCAATCAAGGTTTTAATATTAGTTGTGTTTCTAATTTTCCAAGGTGCTAGTAAAGCTTCACCAATCTGATGCTTTCTAGTAATGTTGGACTTTAAACATAATACTCAGTAATCACACAGGATATTATGAGGGTTTAAGTCTAATACAACTGGAAGGCATGTGGTGAAACAGGTTGTTGAAGGTTCCTGAAAACTATTTTAACAAAGAAATCTTCTGACTAGTTATTGCCTAATAAGTGGGTAGACTATATGACACTAATAATTATTTCAATAAAAGTTCCCAAACAAAATACTTGAATAAAGTCTGCTATGTTAAATTAACATGCTCTTTTGTGGACATTTTTTGCTTCAATTACTCACATCAAAGATCTCAAAGCCAGCAATATCTAATACTCCAATGAAGAATTGTCTTGGTAATTTAGTGTCCAAAGTCTTATTTATGCGAGTAACAAGCCACTTGAACATTCGATCATATACTGCCTTAGCTAAAGCTCCAACAGAATAGGTAACCTAAGGAAACATGAGAAACAATGACTGAGTATACAGTGAAGAATGTAATGAATTTTATCATATTAGTTAACACTCATTGCTTCTGCTGTTGAATAGTTTTGAGTGAATACCCTGATAACATAGGAGGAAAAGCCATAACAGACCCATTCTGAGAACTATACAATATTTGTTAATCTCCCATTTTTCTACTGCTCAGTAAAATGATTAAAATGTCAATAATTGAACTGTATGGCATGGCATCAATATATATGGAATATTGACTTGGTTTACTAGGACTGTGAATGCTTTGAAATGATTCAAGGATGCTTCATACATCTTTGCTATTCCTTAGAGCAACCTGTATTTTATGAGCCTGAAAAAGGATATCTGTCTGAATGCATTTAAGAATCACATTCACTTTAATAAGTAAGCGCCTTAAAACAACCACATATTTTTTTCAGACTCACTTTGAAAAAATAACGTGTGAAGTGCCACAAACTAATTTTGCTTTCATGTGCCCAAACTATGTATTTCTTTCCTGAACTGAGATTTGCATTACAATGTGTTCCATAGTTTATTGTTCTTTAGAGTTAGGCAGGCTTGAGTGCTGTACAGTATTCGTGTTCAGAATGATAGAAATTTGCAGTCTTATTTCTACCACACAGTGTTTAGTGTGCAGCTGTAAGCAGCAGATTTCTAAGCTTCCCCAGAAAGATACTTAGAGGATAGAACCAAAGTATCCATCAAAGATTTTTTTTAAAAAAAATCATTGTGGCTAATTTACACTAAGGGACTGCAGTTATGGAGAGAAACATTGTTTTGCTTAAAGTCTTATGGTATTTTGACAAATATGAACCTTATTGAAACCTGAAACCGTATAATAAATCTTGTTAATTTGGCTTGGTTTGATGATCATTAACCACTATGATATTCAGGTGCTGACTAGACCATTCAAAATCCATAGTCATGGAATGGGAAAAACTGGAAAATTGTAGCAGTAGGAATAAAAATACAAATATTTGTAATACTATGCCTGTTTACAGAAGAATCAACTGAATATGACAGAGGTGTCTTGATGGATTATGTGGTTTTAAAGATTTCTCACCTGTTCTACACTTTGGCCTTTAGTGACATACTCATTTCCAACCTTCACTCTTGGGTGCACCAAACCCTTAAGCATATCAGAAGAATTCACTCCAATTAGATAAGCAGCCTTGTCAGCACCTGAAAGAAACAGTATTTCAATGGGTAAAATAGGAGAAGGAAGGGTAATGGATATGTTTGCGGCCTTATTTGTAAAAGTAATAAAGGCAAGATACATTTTTTTAAAAAAAAGTTTAGATTGATTTTTTCAAATATAGCTTGTTTGTTTTCTATAAGTTATTCTAGAACAGAATTCCAAAGAAGAGGAATAATGTGAAGTGTATGATATAAGCAGATATTTAGCCATAATACAACTACTAGCTCAGCTGATGATCATTGTGAGCTAAAATTACATTTAATGTTTAAACATGCAGTAGAATAAAATATTTCCATCATATATTTTTCCTAAAGCTACTTTAGGTTTATCGTGCATACAGTACTAATACTTGGAAGTCTAGTTATTGTTATGTGTTGACATTTATTTGCATCAACAGAAAAATCTTGACACTTGGCAGAACACAGACTTGTCAGCATTACAGCTCAGAAAATATATAATCTCAGTCACCCAGGAATGATAATACTGAGGCCAAGAAGACAGGACTGATCAACAGTTCTTGCAAAAAAAAAAAAACACCAAATGAACTGATGGCAGAGTAGCTGAAATTCTAGCTGTCTAGAAAAAGACTGTAACTTTATAATTATGATTATTTCAAAATATGGTGTCTTTCTACCTAGATGACACACAAGGTGGATAACAATAAAACAGAAGAAAATGAAAAATAAATAAGCAGTTCATATAGAGTAGCACTTTTGGAGAATAGAAATATATTTAGCTTAAGTATTGAAGCAGTATTTGCAATTGTCAGGTATATCAAAAGATGAGACATTGAACAAGATTTAATTTTACAAAAATACAAATGTAAGCCATAGTTAAGAAAAACCATCTACTGCAAAGCAATGTTGTAACTGTTTATTTTTATTCTAATTGAGACATTTGTGGAAATTTGAGAAAAAAATTATTCAGGTTCAAATTTCTGAACTCCTGTATATAACCATGTTTAAAGGTGCATACATTTATGTGAACTGGCATCCATCTTTGTGATTATGGATAAACTTTCTTAAAAGTTCTCATTATTATTTATACTGAACAGAGTCAATGTTGTGCTAGTGTTGGCCTGGACATCTTAAGACATATAGGACATTGGAACAGTGAAATTTGGACCATAACAAAGGCAGAGTGCCAAAGAATTGAGACCTTTGAACTATGGTGCTGGAGAAGACTCCTGCGAGTCCCTTGGACTACAAGGTGATCAACCGGTCAATACTAGAGGAGATCAACCCTGACTGCTCTTTAGAAGGCCAGATCCTGAAGATGAAACTCAAATACTTTGACCACCTAATAAGAAGGAAGGACTCCCTGGAGAAGAGCCAAATGCTGGGAAAGATTGAGGGCAAAAGAAAAAGAAAAAGAGAATGAGGTGGCTGGATGGAGTCACTGAAGCAGTAGGCGTGAGCTTGAATGGACTCCAGATGATGGTATAGGACTGGAAGGCCTGAGGAGAGTTGTCCATGAGGTCACGATGGGTCAGACAAGACTTTGCAACTAACATCAACAGCAATTCTTTTTAGGGGCAGAAGGAAGGCTTTCAAGATTCAATTACCATACCCTACAACTGTGATGATGAACCTATGGCATGCGTGCCACAGGTGGCAAGTGGAGCCCTCTCTGAGGGCACGTGAGCTATTGCCCAGGTCAGCTCCACTACGCATGTGCGGGAGGTGGGGGTTGCATTTTTTAAAAATTTAAAAACCAAACACAATTGGATTTGGTTAGTATAGCATGGGATACTACTAGGAAACATCAAGGCTGTAGGTTTGACTAAGAAATAATAATAATTAAAATGGCAAAATCAGCTTACTTGGAACAGCTTACAACCTACAATGATATATTTAACACCATCAAATAACATCTACCTATCCCAAGTCCTCAGAAGAATTCAATAGTGGATAAAGATGCCAAATCCAATCTAAACTGCAATCAACCATAGTAATAATAAGCTTGCAAGCATGAACTGGTGGGATCACAAAACAAAGCAATAGAAAATTAAGAAGCTAAAATCCTCTGGGACATTAGAATTCAGGCAGACAAGCACTAGTTACATAACACTCCAGACTTAACAGTTGCTGAAAAGAAAGGCAAAAAAAAATCTGGGTAGAAGACATTGCAATATCTGGAGACAGCAAAAGAGAAAAGAAAGAACAAAATATAACAATAAAATATAAAAGCCTGCATATAAAAGTAAAATGATTATTGCAAAAGAAAGCAAAGATAGGGTTCAAACAGTTCAAAGGGAGGGTTCGAAGAGGGAGGTATCGCAAAACTTGCTGGGAAACTCTTATGGAATGTTGCCAATGAAGATCATGTGACCGCAGCAGTAATACCACAACAACCAATAGCACAGAAGCAGCCACAACCTCTCCAAACCTGTGGATTCTTGAAAATCATGGGCCCCAGATTTTGGACACATTCTGTAAGTTAGCCTGTTTGACGTATCTTGGTTCAAAAACTGTTGCCCTAAGATGCACCATTTTCCCAAGCTAAAGGTGACAACAATGAGAGTTTTTAGTTATATATAGACAGATTTCCCTAAAGTCACAAGGAGTCCATTTCAGTTCAAAAGCAAGAGAAAAAGAAAGTGAGATATATTTTTTTAAAGGTGTTGATTCTTAATTAGACACTGACAGCTGCTCTATTTGCACCCCCTCAGTAACTTTTCAAAATTTAATCCAAAGAATCATGCAGGCCTAATTTAATTAGCTTCCGTCTGTTACATTAAAGTTGACATAGGAGAGGTCATGTTGAAGACCACACTGGAGCTTTTGGGGACCACATGCATCTTTAGACTTCTCACCATAGGTAACTAATTAGTATGATCTGATTACTTGCATGTCTAGAGGTTCTTTCATGACACTGAGAAACTGATCACTCAGAAATTCAATGTGTATTCTATTGAATACAAGTTTTTTTTTGCAGGTATTACTCTGAAAGTGTAGAGAATGGGCACAATAAGATCATAATTTAGAGAATTGTTTGGAAGACATTATCATGTAAGAATTAGCTACTGATTGGGGGCAATAACTGATTCTGAAGTGATTATAGAACAAACTACCTACCCAGTATGAATAGTGTATTGTCTTCATAGAGTCTGCATATTTTACATGGGTAATTATGCCTTGTAAAAAATGACTGTAAGCAAAACAGCCTGGTTTGAATCATGTACACTTTGTATGAGTAATTTTCAAAATCAGCTTCAATATATGGCACAAGAAAGTCATCCAAGGGCTTCACAGCACATATGCCTTGCTCAGGAGAAGAGCCTATTGTATTGGAGTCCTCATTGCAACATAATGGGTAAAACAACACTCACAAAAACTACTTATTACTTTTTCTCTAATTAAGGAATGATTGGAATCTTAGACTCTTTTGAATTGGGAGTGGTGGGGAGTTAAGTGTGAGAATGTTCAATCTCTATTAAGTGCTCAGCAAATAGTGAGAAAATTATTCAGGCCACTTTTTATGCAATTAATGTCTTTCAGTCTTTGAAAGCTCTGCTGTTTTCTTTCTCTGGCATAATACATCAATCTACCCCCATGGATCATATGCTCTGATTGTGCCCAAAGGCAGCATATTGATCTATAGATAAGATTCCCACAAAAAAGTTTGATTTCTATGTGTGAATAATATTAAAGGAGGGGAACCAACACTAATATTACAAAGCAAGAAAAGGAACGCTGTTGGTAAACAAAAAATACAATACTTACTCTCTGTGCCATCAGCTTCTGCCTGCTCTTCCCTGGGTCTCTGTTTAAATTTCATGTCTCCAAAGTGCAAAATTGCACCAGTGAGTTTGTAGGCACCATATTTTTCATCCGCAACAAAACCCAAAATATCCATGGCTTGCTGTTAAAATGTTTAAAAAGAAAAAAAAGATGCTTTTGTTATTTGCCTCCTCAGCTACATGCCGCTTTGTTTTCCAAAGTTGCCTTAGAGCACTGCTGGTGTTACTGTCTTTCTTCTGGTATTGAAAATTCAAGCTGAAACTGTTGGAAAAGTCCTATTCATGTTCTATTTCCTGATGCTGATGGAACAGTTAGGAACATTAAGAGCACATTATGAGATTTGGAAAAATGTATTTAAAAGAAGCACATCATTTAACAAAATGCTTTGGAAAAGACAATTAGGCAAATTCTAGTGGGAGCACAGTGCTCAAATTGGAAAACAGACTCCATAAATACATTTTGGATATATTTATTAAAAGACTTTATTGTTGATAACTTAAATAGCTCTCAAATGAGGTTGGATGAATGTATGTAGGACAAGTTTATCAAAGGCTATTTGTCTTATAGTTTCAGTATTATCTTCACACTGCTGAGGGCAGCATGCCTCCAAATACCCATTTCAAGGAAATGACAGGAAACTGCTAAATTTCCATCTCTTGTTTGCAAACACACTGGCTGTCTTTGGCTAACCACTATAAGAATCAAAATTCTGATCTTTGAAGGCTGTTGACCTAATCTAACAGAACTACATTCTTATCTCAATTTATGAAAGTCAATAGACAGCATGGGTTTATTGGTAGAGTCCTGTTCTGAAATAATATACAGGAAGGGTAACTCACTGTTAAGACCATTCTGCATACTGAAAATTGCCCTGACTTTTGATGTACTGATCTTGGATTCATTACATATTTATGCTCAGCAATCCTGTTCAGTGAGACAATTTATATGGATTGGTTTGAACTGACTCAAATAAGGAAATTGCTGTTGTTCTCACTGAACAGCTTATGCCCTTTTGTACTTTAATAAAAAAACAAGTCTTACATCAGTTGCCATCAGTTCTTCCCCATCATCTAAATTATCCACAGTAACAACACCTTGTGAACAGAAGTGATAGTCATATGGGTTTGTTGACACCAATAGCATATCTGCAAATGAGGAAAAGAAAAAAAACTGTTTATTCTCTGAAGATTTGGGCTCCTGTTAGTCAAAATACAGTGCAATTCATACATCAAGGCTGATTCAAAGTTGCTGGGAAATTAGATCTACACAAATCTGTACAATTTCTATTTTTAAATTATATCACTATGCAACCCTGCATATATCCACACAGGAATATGTTCCACCAATGCAATGGGATTTGTTCCACGTAAGAACAGAGCAATGCAGTCCAACAGTATTAGTGTGAAACAAAAGAGACCTTTGTTGCAAAATATATAAACCCACACTTAATCACTATAAAATGGCTTATTCCACTTCTTTGCTTATATTAACCTGGTTCCTATACAGAACTTTCATTGACATTCCTAGTCCTTCAGAAAGAGATTAATTTAACATAATAGTGATAGTGATAACATGAACACATTTTCAGCAGGATTAAAAAGATTGAATTCCAAGCCATTCTGAAAGTATAAATTGACTTTACTTTATTGTTTTATTTTATTTGCCTGGATAATCAAGTCTCTCTGAATAGTTCCATCTAATGACGCATTCTTATACTTATGCAATTAACTCCACATGATCAATAGACTCATATCCTACACCCTGCTTAGCTTTTCAGGCAAACAGCATAGGCAGATGTGCTTGCTGATCCTTATTCTGCTACAAATAATAAAGAACAAAGACATTTACACAGCTTCTCATATTTCAAATGTCCATCAAAATTGTTTTCAGCTGATTCTAATGTCTTGATGTTATGGGGAAAAGCAATGCAATTTCAAATGTCCAAATCAGGGCAAGAAACATATCACACCTGTTTCTCTCTCTCCCCCCCCCCCCCAAAAAAAAAAATAGGACAAAGGACAAAAGGATTGTTTCAAAAATTTATTAAGATATGAAAAAATGTGGTCAACAACTAGAATCTCCTACAAAATTATTACTTCTAGTAAATTCTCTGCCATTCCACATATACAGCTATGCAGACTGTGAATAATTGATTGTAATAGCAAAATTGTTGTGTGGACAGGAGTTTATCCATACAACAATCATGGCCAGCAAGTATAGCATAAGAATAAATTAACCATGGAAGGTACATTTTCACAGTGGAATATTTCCATCCAAATCCTGTTAGCTGAAAATCACTTTGAAACAGTTCCTCTAATCTACCTTAATTAGGCCATAGTAAAGGCTAACTGGTTAAGGATTTAGCAGATGGTCCACTCAGCCTGGATGACAAGAACAAAAATGAGATTATTACTGCTTTTGCCAAGCAGAAATTTAGGACATGTATAAAGGGAAGCTTTGCCCATATTACAAGAAGTACTAGCAATCCAATAAATGCAAAATCCCTATGCATAAATAGGGTATAAAACTACATGATAGACAGGACCAGCTACTGAAATTCAAAAATGGACTTGTGTAATAATAGATGTAGTCACATAAACATACAGATGTAAGTAAAAAAATGGAACATCATCTTTCAAATTATATGAAGTATTATCAATATCATAGTTTGGTTTTCCATTCATCCAGAATTATATGCAGAATCCCTATACAAGACATGAACTAAGATACATAAGAATATATGTTCATATTGTTAGAATCCATGTAGACAGTACTGTCTACCTTGGCCAATAGTGTAATTCTAGGATTTCACTGTTATACATGTGTGCAATCTTCTACCCTAAATACAAATTAGACATAGAAACTAAGTTCTTCTCTTCTATACACATATAGTGTTACCTAACATGAGCTCCATATCATGTGCTATTTTAAAGTGCTGAATAAGGTAAGAGTCTGCAGACTAAAAATCTGTGGGTTAATATGGCCAATAATGAGATAAAGTAATCATATAAAATCAATAACTGTAAATTAATTTTAGTATTATTTCAATAGATTATTGATTGGTCTTCATTTTGGAGAGAGAAAATGATCATTTTAACTACTCAAAGTTTTTCAGATTATCTGTTTACTTTTTATTGCAATGATATTATTTAATTGAAATGGCTGTTATTTTATATTAATATTTTTCTTACTCAGTTCCTCTATTCATTCATTCACTTTTCATTAGAAAAGTTTTGACTCATGCACACAAAGCATGGTTTTGCTGTTTATTACCTTGTAGCTCTGCTTTCTTTCCTGACAAGATTTGATAGAAGATGTGATAGCATCTTTCACCTGGTTGTTGAAAAATAACTCGGGATTTCTCTAAAAGATCTAGTTGGAGAGTGAAGAATTAAAATGAAAAATAGGTCTAAAATTTTATGTGAAATATAAAGCCTATAGTTATAACAAGTAGTATATTACTTACAGATTTCAATATCAGCAGATGACAGCTTTCCTGTAGTCCCAAAATGGATTCTGATAAATTTACCCTATTGTATAAAATTTAAAAACATTGAAAATGACAATATATAGGACCAATAGTAGTACACCAATTACCATAAGCTTGCTTTGATATCTGCACTGTTTGGATGTTATGATAAATCTTTGGAAGATTCAAACATTATACTACACAATGGTTTATTTAAATCATTGCTTATTGCATAAATCACAATGGTTTATTTAGAGTAAGTGATAAGATATAATTTATATTCAATAGTGTCTTGGTTTCATTGTTAAGTTTCATTAATCTAGTTTAATGGTAGAAGATCTGGGATAAATTGTTTCCCCAATACATAATTAAAGAAACATGACTCCATGGAAGGATGAATCTTCATTCAAGAAAGTCATGGTGATGATGGTTAGAAAAAGAGTTTTCCATGCATATTCCCAAACTCTACTTAGAAATCTTGATAAAACCATCTCTAGGGCTTCTGATACATCACAATCAAGAATTTTGACTTTGACACAGAAACACAGCTTCTAATCCACCGTTGTTATTTCCACTGCCTGATTGCCTGAAGACCATCTTAAAAGTAATGGTCTATTCAGGAATAGGCAATTGCTTCTGAGTAATAATATTACCACAATCAGCTCTAATCAGCACTACCTATCCTAGGGTAGAAAATAGGACTTTCCATTGTATAAATCCCTGCCTGAGAGCAACTGCTTTGAATGCTCTATGGTTGTACAGATGCTTGTTGTGATTATGTCATTTTTTTTAGCACTGCCATGAATTTATTGCTACTAGGTCTCTGTGAAATAGTCTAGCTTTGTTTTGACAAGGGATTTGTTTGATGAGTCTTTTCAGTGAGCTACTTTTGATCACCTTGAGTTGTGAAGTGTGAAACCCAATTATAAAATCAATTGTCAATAGTTATGGAAAAAGTCTAGAACTTCATAATGTATTTATATTAATCTAAATTAATTTTTCCTATTTGTATTTTAGCATTTGCTGATCATGATGACTATAATCACCAGTCTCAGAAGCAATATGGTATTGAATATCCTCTGCTGAGAAACATCAGCAGGACGCTCAATATTATGTCCAATTATATCTTCCCACAGTCATGGTTCCCTTTTTATCTTTAGATAAAATATATGCATGTTTTTCAAGAGACATTGTAAAATAGTCTGAAACATATCCACGATTATCTTATTTTAGCTTGAGATTTTGTTCAACATGAAACCCATGCAATGTTCCAATGACTGTGCAACCTCCTTCCCTGCAATTGATCAACAGAAAATAGCAAAAATATCATTCCATGTCCTGAACTATCATTAAATATAGAAAAACTTCACATACAAAAAAAGCAAGGTACATTGCTATCGGGATTAGCTAGATTAGTGATTTTTTTTAAAAATCCAAAAGAATAGAGCAGCTAGAATATATTTGACATATTGTTGTCAAGAGAACCAAATATGCATGGAGGTAACTGGGAGTCAAGCTCAACTGTAGAAAAAAATTACATTTTTTTTTTCAAAATAAAACTCTGACAACCATCAAGACTATGGCCATTCCCTGAAGTGCTGAGAAGCACTAGTTTGGAACTATTCTAAGTCAGTAGACTTTCTAAAACAGTTTGATAGATGAATAATCTATGACTGATAGACATGGAACCTGCTTGTTTAGGACTGCTTAAGAACATGCGATAGTTAGACCTCTGTGCAAAAATATACACATTTTAATTCTAACTCCTGCTCCTAGAAAGACACACATTTTATATGCAATATATGCAAACAGAGACTTAAAATACATTATCAGTTTACAACAGCATAGATACTTTTCAAGTGTCTGGAACGTCAGCCTTTATAAAAAATGTGTGAATTTGGGGTCTAGTGTGGTTTCTGCAACTTTGCAGCCATTATTAGAATAAATACGGTATGCTGTTTGGTTTTAGTGTGATCAGATTACATTTGCTGAATCCTTTAGTGAATATTACATAGCACTTACAAAACTATATACTTGTGCTATACTTGCTTTATCTATATATATAAAAGTGGCTGTGTATGTGTATGTTCCAGCATAACTCTGGAAGGCCTTGAGCAATTTCAACCAAACTTGGTACACAGATGACTTCCTCTCTGGAAACAAATAATATGGGGGTAAGGCGCCTCTAATGTCTCTTGGTGTATGTGTTCTGTTATAATCAGTCTGTTGTGCCTTCAAATGGCTTCTACTGTACTGCCGTACAATGGCTTCTATTGTACAACGCAGTGGAGTTGCCATACTAAGAACTTCACACTACTCCACAAGGGGGCTTCCTTTGGTGAGGGGGAAAATCCAACATTAGAAATTATGTTTAGTCCGGACATTTTTCCCTTATAAATAAATACCTGGACAATACTGGGTTATCACCTAGTCAGTAAAAAAAACACACCATATTTGTTTATTTATTTATTTATAAACTTTAGATGGTCCTGCTGCTTTTGCAATCCAGAATACTGTATGAATACTGCACCAAAGGTATGCTGGGCAGCAAGTTACATCCCACTGCTACTGCTACTTGATCTAGAAAAGCTACCTGTATTCCTATTTTTCGTATATTGTCCATCTTTCTAATTTAGTATCGATACTAGATATGGACTACAAAGATTCAAAAGGCGATAAAGCTTTTGCAATCCAAATCTGATGACTTTATAATTTATAGCTTTTCCTGTGTTAGAATAGTATCAAAATTCATATTACTCGCTATTAACAGGAAGATACTTGCAATGCATGTGGAAGTCCCTTCTCCTTTCCAGTAAATAATAATGATTTTAGTAGAAAATAATCCAAAGGGCCAAAATATTTCAGTGAAAAAAGAACTTTTCATTTAATAAACATCCAAACTAATGTAAAATTTGGACCATTAGTTGATATAAGAAGTGTATTCAGTTGGCAGTGAATACATGTTAGAGGAAGGCAGTGAAATATGGCTAGTATCCCTCTCTTTCCACAAGTTCATAAAACTACCTTGTATTCTTCAGGTTCCTTAGCCAGTTTGGTCAAGGTTAACCAATTCTAAAATTGTTGTCCAAACACAAATGGAAGGTATCTGTTTGAAGAAGTTTCCTTTGGACTACCTTTACACTTCTCAGACAAGTATAAAATGTAAGCGTGTAAGCAGTTTGTGTATATTTAGGAACTTCGCAAAAAAAGAGTAAACATTTATGCCAGGAATGTGTAAATGGTCTAATATATTTAATTCCAAGAGGGCAAATGGCATTATCAAATATTTCCCTCTTACACTTTTATTAATGATAAACCAAGATAATTAGTGGACTGCAGGCTAAAACAAATAAAGGACAGTTTCTGGAATTGGGTATGTCTAGTTTAATCAAAAGGACTAGGAGTGACATGATAGCAGTGTTTCAATATCTATGTGGTTTGCCACAAACATGCAGGAGTCAACCTATTTTCCAAAGCACTTGAGGACAGAACAAGAAGCAATGGCAATTGCGGTTTGGGATGAATGGAGCTGGGAGGAGTGGGGCAGAAAGGAAGGTGGAGCAGGATATTGATGAAGGGATCTTGGGATTGAACGAACTGGTATATGCAATTTGGGCTTGGGAGGAATAGAGACGTGAAACGAAGGGTAGGAAGATGAGTAGCGAAAGCATGATTAGATTGCTCTGTATTTGAAGATAAATTGATTTTTGTATAAACTAATATTTGAATATAAGGTTAAGAAAGGCTATCTTGGTTTATCATTAATAAAAGTGTAAGAGGGAAATATTTGATAATGC